GTGGTCACTTACAGGAAGGCAGAGTTCTTGGTTTCAGTTACAGGACAGAGGGGAGAACTGAAGGAGGATTTGAGGCCAGAGGCACCAGCACCCATGCCCTAGGACTAGACATGCTTACAATAATAAGCTGCTATAAAATTTTTTTTAAAAAAACAGGCAAAGGAAAAAGAACCTAACAAAAGAAAGTTACTATGGGAATAGAGAAGACTGGGGTACATCTCCAGAGGACGATACTGAAGCAAAAAAAAAAAGCCTCTCCTATCCCAAGGAGTAACGTCAAATGGTCAGCAGCCCAAAAGAATTCATAGAAGAATTTTAAAAAGACTTCAAAAATCTGGGCACATAGGTGGTGCAGTGGATAGAGCACTGGCCCTAGACTCAGGAGGATCTGAGTTCAAATCCAGCCTCAGACACTTGACACTAACTAGCTGTGTGACTCTAGGCAAGTCACTTAACTCCATTGCCTAGCCAAAAAAAAAAAAACCTTTAAAAATCAAAGGAGAGAGATTGAGGAATTAAAAAAAAAACAAGCAAGAAAAACAAGAAGATTATGAAAAGAAAGTCAGCCAATTGGGAAAGGAGATCCAGAATCTTAAGGAAGAAAATGACTCCTTAAATATTAAAACCAGGCAAGGGGAAGTCAACAAAGTTATAAGAAACCAAGAAATAATAAAACGAAAAATAGAAGAGAATGTGAAACATCTCATAAGAAAAACAACTGATCTGGAGAACAGATCAAGAAGAGAAAACATAAGAATAATCAGACTACTTGAAAGCTATAATCAAAAAAGAATCTTGATACAATAATACAAGAAATAAAGAAAATTGTCCGGAAGCATTAGAATAAGAATGGAAAGTAGATATAGGAAAAAAAAATCCACCAATCATCACATGAAAGAGATCCCAAAAGGAAAACCTATAGGAATATCATAGTCAAATTCTGAAACACCGAGCTAGAGGTTAAAATATTACAAGCAACAAGAAAAAAAATTCAAATATGGTGGAGCCACAATTAGAATTACACAAGACCTAGTAGCAGTGACACTAAAAAACTACAGGTCTTAGAACACCATATATTGAAGAGGAAAAGAATTGGGGTTGTGGCTGAAAATATATGCAGCAAAGTTAAGCCTCATTCTGAATGGAAAAAAAAGGATAGTCAATGAATTGCCAGACTTTCAGGATTTTGTTACAAAAAAACCCCTGAACTTAGAAAGTTTGACATACAAGATCCAAGAGAAATATAAGGTACACATGAAAGACTAATTACACTGGACTCAATAAGGACAGACTGTTCACTTTTAGATGAGGAAATATAAAACGTATGTCTAAGGATGTTAATAGCAATTGGGTAGGGCAAAATAAAAGTGGGGGTAGACCTGAGTAAAAAGTAAAACCATTTAGGAAAAGGCAAAAAGAGTAATTATCTGTACAAATGAGGTGTGAGAAGAACAACTGACAGAGGAATTAGATGGAGGAGAAGGGCTGGTAGTTCATGAACCCTACCGTCATTGAGAATGGGTTAAAGAGGGAACGATATATGGGTGTGTGAACAAAAATACATAAGTATGTATGTATATATGTATATATACATAACAGTCTTCTAAATTCAGAAAGAAATAAAAGGCTAAGGGGATAGGAAGGGAAAGAGGACAAGGAAGGGATTTTTAGAGGGACTCCTACTTACATCAGATCTGGGTTAAAGAGAGAACAATATATACATTTAGAAGGGAATAAAAGTATTCTAAATTTATAAAGAAATAAGAGGTTGAAGGAATAGGATAAGGGAGGGGGGGGAGTTATAGAAGGTTGTCTAGACTAAACATAATGGGATAAAGAGGGAATAACATATTTGGAAGGCTATAAAGCTCTTTTAAATTCAGATAAAAACAAGTGGGTAAGGGGAAAGGGGGGAGAGGATAAGGGAGGTATCCTTGGAGGAGGGGTAGGTTAAATATCTAAGTATATTTATATGTATGTAAGTATATATAGGTATATATAAATGTGTGTGTATATGTTTGTGCATATATATGTGTGTGTATCTGCACTTTATTGTAGCAAGCAAAAGGTGCACAACAGAGAACAAAAGAAAACTTACAAGGAAGTAAAGCAAAGCTGGACAGCTCTGAGTACAATGTGTAGTATTTATTATATAGCCTTTCTTGAAATGGAAATTTATTGCTATTTTGAATCCTGTCTTACATTCTGCTGAACACTTAGCAATGCTTTCCCCCTCCCCTTTTTTTCTTTAATATGTAAGTTTTGGTATTTAAGTTTGTAATTTGTTTCTTTTTCATTTTTATTTTGTATGTAAGTTTTAGTATTTAACTTCAAAGCAAATTAATTTAAAAAAACCCACAAAATCCCCAAGTTCTCGAATCTTCATCTAAAAATTTCGAGATAGGTGAATTGAATGTCAGAAGTGAACTATGTTTTATTGCCTATACTACTTTGCCTGTTCACAGGAGGAGTGTGTGATGGGGCAAAGACACCAGGATCCCGAGTTTCCTAGAACTCTTGGGTTTGAGGTCACTTGTGTACTGCCTAAAAACTGATTGGGTGTAGGAGAAGCTATAGACATGCAACTAATTGTTAAGTGTTTTATGACGTATTATTTATTGCTTTTCAAAATTCTATGCCACTAATAAAGTGCTGTATTCAGTTTAAAAAATAATGAAGTTAGAAATTTTAACAGGCAAAAAAGAGACTTGAATGCATTCCAGGCTTGAGAGTACAAGACAGTTTGTACTAAGACTTATAGAAAAGGGACAGAATACCAAATTTGAGGCATAGCAAGGAAGCCAGTTTTAGCTTTTTTTAGACAGCACTGGTTATCTCCCATGCCTGGAACCTCTCCCTCCTCATCTCCAATTTCTAGCTTCCCTGTAGGAGCCCTTCCCTGATCCATCTAGCTGCTGGGCTAATACCTTCTCTTCTGAGGTTACCTTCCATCGACTGTTTAGATATCTTTTATGTAACACCTATTTATCTCTTATGGACCCAATTACCTGCACGCTGTTTCCCCCATTAGAATATGAACTCCTTGAGAGCAGGGGCCATGTTTTTTTGCCTTCTTTGTATTCCCAACATTTGGCACAATGCCTAACACATACTAAGTATTTAACAAATATTTGACTGACTGCTACCAATTTATCTTGGTTTTCAATCCTTGTATTGGTTTCTGATATTGAAAAACTAGTTAGCATTTGTATAGCACTTTAATGTTTACAAATATCTCAATCTATCCTCACAACTACTTTAGGAGGTGGGCACTATTATTATGGCCACTTTGTAGTTGAGGAAACTGAGTCAGACTGCTGTTAAGCAACTTTCCCTGGGTCCCATGGCTAGTGTCTGAGACTGCATTTAAACTCAGATCTTTTTGATTCCCAACTTTAGCACCCTATCCACTGGCTCAGCTGACTCAAGTAATGGAGGAGTTGAGATCCCAAAGCCTAGAAGTCCAGGCTGACTCTAATAAGATCCAATTTAGTGAGTGTACAAGAAAGGTTTTAAATTTTGGTTTAAAAAAAAAAACTTCACAAGTATGAGTTGAGAAAAGAACAGTCCATCTGAAAAGAGTCAGGGCAGGGAGGGTGGAATGAAAGCTCATTGTGAGTAAATAGTGTGATATGTCAGCAAAAAGGCTAATTGGATTTCAGGGTGCACATATTTCCAGGACTGGGGAAGTGATGATCACACTGTATTACTCTAACCTAGTCAGAGCACATCTGAAATATTTTGTTCTGTTTGAGGTACCATATTTTAAGAAATATCTCACCAGGATGGTGAAGAGCCCTGAGATTATATCATATAGATGTTAGTAGAAGGAACTAGGAATGTTTATCTTACAGGTGCTCCAACTTGCATCTGCTGCTCTGCCTGGTTTCAACTCCATGGAACAAGATTCCCTCCCACCTTGGTACCCCTGGGGTCCCATCCCCCCACCCCTTCTTGCCCACTTTTGTATGTTGTATCCTCTTTTAAATTGCTTTATTTTATTTTTAGTTTATGGAATAAAACAAGTATTTCCATAACATAGTACAATTAAAAAAGATGCTTGTACATGAAAACTGCAAATCTACTGCTCACAACTTGCTTTTCCTTTCAAATATACAGCAACATTATCATGTAAGTTTCTTTTTTTCCAGTCCCTCCCTCCACCCCAGAAATGACAACTATTAGACACAAATATTCATATAAATGTAAATATATATACCTATATGTATATGGGTACATATAGGTAAATGTATGTGTACCCATATGTAAATAGGTATATATGTGTATGTGTGTGTATATATATATGTATACATATATATATATAATATATATACATGTATATGTAAAATTATTCTGTATACACTTCTATTTATCAGTTCTTTCTCTGGATGAAGATAATATCTTTCCTCATATTTTGTTTATAATTAATTTGGGTATTTATGATAGGCAAAATTTATTCACTCAAAGTCATTTTTACAACATTGCTGTTACTGTATTCAATGTTCTCTTGGTTCTGCTCATTTTGGTCTTCATTATTTCATGGAAGTCTTTCCATGTTTTTCTAAAATCATTGAGCTAATCATTTCTTCTAGTGCAGTAATTTTCCATCACATCAAATACCTCAATTTTTTCAGCCATTCCCCAACTGAGGGGCATCCCTTCAATTTCCGGTTCTTTGCTACCAAAAAGAGAGCTGCTATAAACATTTTTTATTAATTTTTTTTTTGGCTAGGCAATGGGGTTAAGTGACTTGCCCAAGGTCACACAGCTGGTAAGTGTTATGGTCTGAATCTGTATTTGAACTCAGGTCCTCCTGAATCCAGGGCCAGTGCTCTATTCACTGCACCACCTAGCTGCCCCTGCTATAAACATTTTTAGAACATATGCATTCTTTTCCTTTTCCCCTAATCATCTTTGGAAATAGTCCCCTTTTAAACTGTAAGCTCCTTGAGGACAGAGATTAGTTTTCTTTTTATAAATTTATCCCCAGTACTTCTGTAGTAGGCACATAGTAAAGTTTTATTGAATTTGATTGTACCAGGAAGTCATCACCAAGGATATGAAGGAAGCTATTTTCATGTAGAAGAGAAATCCACTTGGTCCCAGCAGCAAGAACAAGAAGTAAGTGTGTGTGTGTGTGTGTGTGTGTGTGTGTGTGTGTGTGTGTGTGTGTGTAAACCACAGAGAAGGAGATTAGGCAGCATTAAATGAAATCTTCCCAACAATTAGAACCATCCAAGGTAGAATGGGGCTGCCCTCTAAGCATTTCCCTCATTGAAGTTGTCTGAGCAGAGCCTGGATGCCCATTTGTCAGGTACATTGTGGTAGGGATTCTGGTTAGCGGTAGGTTAGCTGGATGCCAGTGAGGTCTTTCCAATGCTGAGATCCTGTGATTTTACCCATCTTAAGCCGCTCTGTTAGGGAGAAGGCCTTTTGCCACAAGGGGAGAAAGTCAATGGTGGTGGTTAAGTTAACAGCCTTTACTGAGCACTGATAGGTGGGCCAATCTATAAAGGGCTAAAGGCCAAGATGGCTTGGGGAGCTTTCAGAGTGAAGAAGGGACTGGATATTCATAGTAGAAAAAAGGAATACCCACCAACCTCCATTTTAGAGAATCAAAGGCTACACGTACTTTCTAGAAGCCCAGCTGCTCATATACTCTTTGAGCTGGGTAATTATAGCAAAGGGTATTCAGGACCACAGCATCATACCCTTGGTCTTTTGCAAACTGGAGCAGAGTCTGGGTCAGTGATTTGGCGATGCCCTTCCCCCGCTGCTCTGGTCTCACTGACAAATGTAGCAGCTCCAGGTGCTTCTGTCCTCCTGAAACCCCTTGCACCAGGCAGGCACACACCATGCCCACCACCTGACCCTCTGACTCTGCCACCCAGAAACAAGATCTTCTGTCATTGAGATAGGATTTCCTGATGTCCTGCAGGTCAGTGTGTAAAGCATTATCCACATACCAGTTGAAGGGATATCTAACAACCAGCCAGAGGGAGGCCAGGATGCCTGGGAAGGCCAGGACAGACAGGAGGAGGGAGCCAGAGGCAAGAAACAGGGCCCCTGGGCCTCCTAGCAGGAGCAAGAAGCTTCTGGGCTGCTTCAGTACATAGAAGAAGCCAGGAGAAATGTGATCTAGTGTTCCCTTAATGAACATGTCCATCACTTCTTCCCTGTCTTGGTCCTGATATTTCCGGATATGGTAGGGAGCCATGGATTCTTCAGTCTCCTTCTCCTACAGACCCTATAGATGACAGAAAATTGGCACCATCCTTACCCAATGCAGCTCAGTCATACCATCTCCCTCCCCAGGATTCACCTTCTTTTCTGGAAGGAAAGAAGCCACTGCCTGAATGGGAGACTTGGTAGGTGGAGGAGGGAAACGTACCCCATTCTGCCCTCTACTAGCCCCAGGTCTCTTTGATCCCACATGGAGTAAGTCCCAGGATGGAAGGAGCAAATACTATGGACATCTAGGAGTACCTTTCTGAGCCATCCAGGATAGACTCTCCCAATGAGATTTAGTCTTTCCTCTCAATCCAGAGCTTCCTGTGGTTCCAGGTCATAGGTGTATGACCTACAAGCAGTATGGTACACTGGAGAGAGTGCTGGATTTGGAGTCAGAGGCCCTGAGTTCAAATCTTGCCTCTCTCACTTCCTACTTGTGTGACTAAGGACAAATCACCAAACCTCTGGGTCTCCATTTCTAACCTGTAAAATGGAGGCAGATGAAGGTTGAGCTAGATGGCATCTTGGGTCCCTTTCAGCTCTAAATCTATTGTTCTATGGAGAGGACTCAGAGGGAGATGGAGATTTTTCCAGGGAAGCTCCCTCTCTTGTCTCCTCACCTGTTCCTTTTCCAGATCCCAGACACTTCTTTGTAGCTGGTACCTTTGCAACTTGTGCCCTTTTTCCTCCAGCTGCTCCTGTAAGAGTCTGCTTGAGTGCTTCCAATCCCACATGTGATGCCAGAAGGTCAATGTCCTTTCTCCTGTTGGACCTGTCTGATTGACAGCAGAATCACCACTTTTTCATTCCTTCCCTACAAACTCCCCTAGCACCCAAACCCTCCCACTCACCTACCAGGGCTCAGATAATGAGTGCAGCATTCTGCCCAACTCATCCTGGTGAAGGCATCTGTTCTTCCCACTTCTGGGAGAGTCAACCTCATCCCAGATTTGAGGCAGAAGCCACCCTTCACCTCCTTAGCCTCTGGATCCCCCTTTTCCTTTGTGGTTCCCCTCCCCAAGCATCCTCAGCCCTCTGCAGGTGACTTGGACTGACCCAGAGGTATCACTGAATCCTAGTATGAGCATCCTCTGGTCTGCCTCTGGTCCTTTGGGTATAGCAGTGACAGCAGCCAGCAGCCAAGTGCAGACTCAGGCCTTCTTTAGCCCTGGACACTGATGAATCCCTAGAGAAAGACCTCACCAAAAGCCACAGAATCTCAGACCTCGAGGGCAGTGCAAAAGGAACAGGCTTTCCCATCGCTAGAAGTCTTCCAGCATAGGCTGAATGGGCAAGTCGCAGAGAGAATTCCGGTGCAAATCTGCTTTGGACTGGGTAACACCTAATAGTCCTTTCCCCTCTATGCTTCTGAGATCCCATAATTTCTTTGAGACCTTTCATAAACGCCCACACTTACCTTCTGATGGCAGCAAGGAAAGAAAAACTTGTCTTAAGAGCCAGCTGTTTGCTAAGTGGCAAGCTAAACACTGGGAATACAAAATCAACGTGAGACAGTCCCTGCTCCTAGGAGCTGACCTTGTAATGGGGAGAACGGAGACAGGCAGGGGAGTAGGTAGCCAGGGAGGGGTGTTTGGATCTGAGGAATCACAGGAATGACTTATGGAGCAAGGAGGGAGTCAACTAACCTGCTCAAGTATTGATTTGATTGGTTTCCAGATTGAGAGGTCAAAGGTAGAGGGTGGGATGTTTAAGCATGCAGGGCAGATAGCTTAGCCCAGAGATCTGGACACAGTTTTGGAAGCATCTCTCACAAAATCTCTCTGCCTTACGTCTTCACCAAGGGAAACAGTGGGAATTTCAGTATCATGCTTATTTTGAAAATCTCTGGAAAGGGCTTTCAGCCAAGTACTCAGGTAAGCAATGCATGAATGCATGAAGGAAAGGAAAAGGGTCTATTACGAATATTCTGTGCCAGGCACTGTGTTAGGTTCTGAGGACAGAAAGCAAAAGTTAGAATCTCTCTCTTCACGAGAAGCTTATGTTCTAATAACAGAAACACAGGTTAATAGAGGCGACCTACTGATGGCCAGGAGGACGACCGAGTTGAGTTAACTGGGCAGAAAATACAGAAAGGTCTCATGCCCTAGTACATCAATAGTCCAGGACAAAACCAGTCCAGGTCACCAACATTCAGCAGACATACTTTTTCTCCATGATTACAAGTGTACCTTCTGAGCTGTGAGGTTACTACCTTTTCTTTGGCATATAGCTCCCTGCTGCCCCACCTTCTGGCCCAACTTCCTGCTGTATTATTAAATACATAATAGATTATTATATTATATACATGTTATTATATGTATAATTATTATTATTATTGAAGCTATGTCTCCACTTACTTTTTCTCAATTGAAGCTGTTTCCCTTGTTTCTTTTCTTCACTGAGCTCGTTTAGAGTAGGTCACTCACCTGCTGGAGCTTTTAATGCAGCTTGCTTTGCATGTCAATCAGCAGCTTTGACTTGTGTCTGGGTCCTTTCTTATTGGCCATGCCCTGTCTCCTCCCCCAGCCCCACCTCCCGCCCCTAGCATGGTCTGTGTGCTTCTTATATTTGGGCACTTATTTGGAGAGGGATGGGAGGGAGAGAAAGTAGATCTCTGTTAATTTTTTAAAATCTTATTTACAAAAGTAAACAGTTCAAATGTTTCTTTTTAAAAATACGTTATTTAAAAAATAATTATTTTTGCAAACATTTATTCTCTCTCTTTCTGAACTCACTCCCCCCATATAACAATGAAACAAATAACAATAAAACCCTCGTTATAAATATCCATAGTCCAGCAGAACAAATTCCCACATTGGATATTTCTAAAAATATGTCTCATTCTGCATTTTAAGTCAAGCAGGAAATGGATAGCATGTTTCATCTTCATTTCTCAGGAATCATGGTTTGTCCTTGTAATGATCAGAGTTTCCAAGTTTTTCCACGTTGTTTTTCTTTACAACACTGTTGTCATTCTGCAAATTATTCTCCTGGTTCTTCTCACTTTCCTCTGCAACAGTTCATGAGTCTTCCTAGTTTCCTCAGAAACTTTCCATTTCACTATTTCATATGGTGCAATAATTCAATTATATTCATATACTTTATTTTATTTAGCCATTCCCCAATAAGTAGATACCTCCTTAATTTCCTGTATCTGGCTATGAAAAAAAGTTACTATAAATATTGTTGTACCTGTGGGTACTTTTCCTTTTTTCTAAATCTCTTTAGGGGTATAAGGCTAAAGTGGTATTGCTGGGTAGCAGAGTAGGACTGGCTTAGTGCCTTATGGGGTGCAGCTCCAAATTGCTTTCCAGACTGGCCAGACCAATTCATAGTTCATGAACAGTGTACCAGTGTGCATGTTTCCCCACAGCCTCTCCAACATTTCTCACTTATTTTTTTGTCATCTTTACCAATCTGTTGGGTGAGAGGTAGAACCTTGGAGTTCCTTTAATTTTCATTTCTCTAAATTATTAGTGATTTGGAGCATTTTTTCATATAGTTGTTGATAACTTGGATTTCTTCTTCTGAAAACTGCTCATTCATATTCGTTGACCATTTGTCCACTGGGGAATGGTTCTTGGTCATAAATTTAAATCATTTATTCATATATCTTGGATATGAGACCTTTATCAGAGAAACTTATTGCTTTTTCTAGTTACCTAGAAACATCTTTTCTTGTTCAGACATCCTAGGAAGTCCCCATGAATGACTACCTTGGTGTATGCTAATGATATTCATAGTAACCATTTAGAAAAGGCAAGCATTTTGCCAAAGTTCTCTTGTCTCTAAGATAACAAAAGTAAAAATAAATATGCAAATGGCCACAAGATGCCTCTGGGGCTTCTGTCTAGACCTCTTTATTCTAGGTTGGTAGCACACAACAGCCACTGGGACTGCCCCTTAATCAAGGAGTATGGGGGGCTGTGGGTTTGGGGGAGGCTTTGGTTTCAAGCCCTAACAGAATGGATGTCCTCCCTTCATGCCCATTCCTTCCTACTTTGCCTGCTTCTAGTTTTGCCTTGGGGAACACGTGAGCCATCCTGCTGGGGCCTTGTCCAAAGTCCAGGAGTACTGGAGCAGAACCCAGGATGTTATGTCACTCCTGTGATCATCCCTAACCTTCAATCAGGCAGCCCTGCTCCAAGACCCATAGCACTCTGGTCACTGATTAGTCACTTCTAATATAGGACATTTGAGCCCCCTGGTTTTGGAAAAGATTTCTCTCCAAAGCTGGTCTCTCTCTCTCTCTCTCTCTCTCTCTCTCTCTCTCTCTCTCTCTCTCTCACACACACACACACACACACACACACACACCCCTACTGCAATGTGAAAGCCCTTCTTTTTGATGGCAATGCCTCAGGAATCAGTAAGGCCAGAGCACACACAAAGAAGGCACACACATCAGGAACCATGGAGCACAAACACAGAACAACCCATTTGGCCTGGCCAGTTCACATCTCCAGTGCTGCATTGATGCCAACATCCTCTGGTGACATCATTATGCTACTGTCTGCACTGCATTGTCTTTGCAATCTACTGGGCATCTCTGTAGACATAGACTTCTATCTGGCATGATCGACTGGCTATTATTAACTGCTTCTGGGCCTCTGCTCCTATCCACTGTGGTATAGTAATTAACAAATCTCTCCCTGATGAAGGAAACTACAATTTCTTATTGTATAACCAAGGCCTCCAATATGGCAATCAATAAAAACAGTCCAAATGCTTCTATGGATAAGATTAAATTTATTCTTTTACTGCTCTTGCCTGGTGTTGATTCAAGGTCCATAGCCTGAGACAGTTAGGACGGTTAGGAAATTCCTTATAATCCCTGCTACATTCTTGATTTTGAGCTGTCCTCCAAACTTATTTTAAGAATTCTTCCCCCAAACTCTTACAAAAGCTCTGGGGAGCCTTGAGGAATAATGTTCACCTCATCCTCAAAATTCTCTTTGAATTTAGGACAAGAACAGAAGGTCAGGTGAAGTAGTCAAGTTCCATATTTCTGCAAATGCTTACTATAACCTACTAAGAAGGTCATATAAACCTTATAAACCCAGAAAAATATGACAGAATTTCCCACAATTAAAGATTAGCAAGTTTGCATAAGAGGAACCCTGAGTTCACAGTCCAGTTGCCTATCCCCTTACTAAGAAGAGGCAAGATAAGGAAAAGAAGGAAAATAGATTGGGGGGGGGTCCAAAACCAGTGAACCAGTAGGTTCGCACTGTGAGGCATTTCCAGGTCATCTAGGAGGAAATTTCAGGATTGTAACTACACAGTAGGTATGACATTATTCCTATAGCAAGGGTGGATGAATGAGTGAATGAAAACATTTGTTCAGCACTTACTTTGTCCAAAGCTAACAAATAGGGATACAAAAAAACCACAAAATAGTCCTTTCCCTCAAAAAGCTTACAATCTAATGGGGGTCAAAAATCAATGCCACTTTCTCTGGCATCTCTCAGGGGGAGGGTAAAACTTAACTTACAGGGCTAATAAACTCCAAAAAGGTCATCACAAGATTGCTTAATTATCTGACCAGTATAGACCAAAGGTCAGCTTACTTTTATCAAGTGTTTTACAGTTTATGAAGCAATTTTTCCTAATAGTCTTGTGAAATAGGTAGGGTAATTATTATCCTTAATTTATACATGAGGAAATTGAATCTTGGAGAAGTTCATGGATTTGCCCGGAGTCACAAACTTAGTTATTTGAAGAACCGAGGTGATAGGTTCACTGGGCTTCAAGCTAGAGGGGACTTAGAAATTATCTGATCCAACTTTCATTCTATAGATGAGTAAACCAAGAACCAAAGAATTGAAGTGATCTGCCTCAGATCACACATGACTAGATAATTGGTAGCACTTAGATGTGAACCTGAATCTTGAGCCTCACTCTGTGAGGTTTCCTCAGAACAAAAGAAGCTGATCCCTTTACAATTGCAGCAAGTACTGCAGGCATTATTGTTATTTTACAATTGGGGAAACTAAGTCTCAGAGATGTTAAGTGATTTGTCCATGATCACATAGCTAGTAACTATCAGAGGAAATTATTTTAACCCAAGTCTTTGGGAATTCTGGAGAACTCTCCATCCAATATTCAAGCCACTATACTACAATGCTTCCCATCATTCCATTTGGGTACCAATCCTGGATAAGTAGAACCCCAAGGACCTTTCAATTTGGTAATCACAAGCAAGATAGGTAAGTGGTCATCACATAATAGAGAGCTAGCTTTGGAGTCAAGAAGACTTGGGCCAACTCTGTCTTCTGACATGTAATGTGACCCAGGGCAAGTCTCTGAACAGTGCCTCAGGCAATTCTCTAAGACTGTAAATTGCAGAACAATTGATCTATGTTGTCAGAGAAAGTTCTCTACACCAATGAAATTATAGATTTGTTTCCCCTCTGTTCTCCATAAAAAATCAGAGAGAGAGAAAGACAGAGACAGAGACAGAGAACAGAGACAGAGCAACAGAGACACAGAGAGAAAGAGGAGAGAGAGAGTGAGAGAGAGAGAGAAGCTAATTAATGCTGCACACAGAAGTTGTTAGAACTCCTTTGGTGTTCATTAATTCATCAGTCATTCTGATGGTTTCAGTCTATGTGTCTTCTTTTCCCACTGGCAGAAGGAGTCTGGTTGGACCAAATAGCCTCAGAGTTTCAGGAAGAGCCTTGGGTATTCTTGAACTGCCCAGGCCAATAAAATTATTAACAATGGCCTTTAGATTACATTCCATATTCCCCTACCAGTGAAATGTCTGTAGCCCCAGAAACAATCCCAGCTCACTTACACATAAGATTTTATAAGGGAGTTCTTCATGGAATTATGAAGTGACTTGCTCAGTGACAGTTAATGAATGTTGGTGTCAAGACTTAGCCCAAGTCTTCTGAATCCAAGAGATCATGGGGGGGGGGGGAATAGAAAGAATATGCTCAATAAATGTCAACTGAGCTGCAAGGGAGTTAAGTTCAGATCCCAGTTCTCTTGTTAATTGTGTGATTTTGGGGGAGTTACTACATCTCCCAGGACCTGTTTCCAGTTTGGATCCAGCCTATCTTCTCAGACCTGTTTACATCACTCCCCTTCATGTGCTCTACATTCCAGCTAAATTTAGCCCTCATTGGTGCTATAGAAATGCTAGTGATGATGGTGGTGGTGGTGGTGGTGACTGTTAGGCTTTGTAGGATGAGCTACATGGATAGAAGTGGGAAATGCTATGAATAAAGGTATCAAGATGGTGAAGGTGACATGTTTGGGGCAGCCAATGAGTAGAATGAACTGAGCTTTATGGAGAGTTCATGTCTGAGATGGACAGCCAGGTGGCACAGTGGAATCAAGAGGACCCAAGTTCAAATCTGGCCTCAGATACTAGCTATCTGACCCTGGGCAAGTCACTTAACCCTGTTTACCTCATTTTCCCCATCAATAGAATGAGCTGGAGAA